TGTATTTATTTACAATAGCAGACGATACTGCAATCGCGGCAAAACATCAACAAATCAATCACGTGATTAAATGTGATTGGCTAACACAAAAAAATCGCTTTTGGTCATGTGATCAAATTCATTTAGCTTGTTTCTTGGTAATGAGGTTTTCAGAAAATGAAGCTAGACTGTGATGCGTGACGTCATAATCACATTCTTGCAATGTTTTTTGCACACGGCGCATTTTACCTGTGTTCATAAACAAAAACGTAGTACCTACGTACCAATGTAAAAACACAGTGTAAACAACTGCCAGTATTTAAGGGAATAGGTTAGGGTTAGTTAGGGGTTAGGGTTAGTTAGGGGGTTAGGGTTAGTTAGGGTTAGGGTTAGGGCTAGTTAGGGGTAGGGGTTAGGGTTAGGGTTAGCACTCCACTCAGCTGACCCACCTATCCCCATCACCAATCAGAATCCTCCATTTTGAACCTCATTTGCATAAAAAGTGCACTCAGTTGACCCATCTATCTAGGAGGCTTATACTACTGGTGTTATAATTTATATTTTAATTTGACCATAAATTGACTTTTTAAAAAAAAGTGCTTATGTTGATTTCTTCATAAAACATACATAAAAACAGTTGTTTTATCCTATACACTTAATTCCACCCTAAAATTTCCGGGGCGAATGTCTTGTAGTACATGTATGTTTACGTAAAGTTATATTTGAGATTGCTAATATTCGTTTTCTACACAGTTCTAAGTTGACCGCGATTGCTCTTCGCAGACTAGATATAGGATCTTTTTTTTAATGACATCGGAGAAATGATGTTCATTCTACTCATTTACATATTCGTAATACTGGAGCTCTAATGGCGGCATAACTTGCAAAAAATTGCAAATATTTAAAACCTTTTTCGGATGAAGTTCTTCCGCCGATGTTATGATTTATCTTTATATCTTCTACTGGAAATAAAAATGATGTTGATGTTAAAGTGAAAGTTGCGACCGCCGTTTTAGGTCACCTGAGTAACTCAGGTGACTTATTGCTATCCGTTTTCGTCCGTCATCGTGTGTCGTGCGTCGTGTGTTAACATTTGAACATTTTCAGCTTCTTCTCTAAAACCACTTAACCAAGCACATAGTTATGATGAGCAAGATCGAGTGCCTCTTCCAGAATTGTGAATTTTATGGCCCCAGGGTCATGGGTTCTGATATTAGGGCGGGGCTTTATTGATCATATAGTGAAAATGCATTAATTCTTTGAAAATCGTCTTCTCTGCTTCTGGGTATTAAATAAACTAACTAAGTACATAGTTATTATGATAAGCAAGAGTTCCTCTTCCAAAATTGTGAATTTTATGGCCCCAGGGTCAGGGGTTCTGGTGTTAGGGGTGGGGCCCTATTGATTATATAGTGAAAATGCATTAATTCTTTGAAAATCTTTCCTTTGCTCCTGGGTTTTATGCCAATGATCCAAGTATATATATATTTATGATAAAGAAAGGTGCATCTAGCAAAATGGTTATTTTTTATGCCCCCCCTCCCTGGGTCGGGGAGGTGTGTACATTGTCTGAAAATAAATAAAACTTTGAAATCTGCTCTTTGGTATTAATCAACCATTTTATGATAAAATTTTGAAATATGTGGCCCCAGGGTCAGTGGTTCCTTTGGGATGAGGTGCACAACTGGTTATAGAGTGGAAGTGCATTTTCTCTTTGTTATTCTGATCTACCTCTGGGTATTAAGTAAATAGAGTAAGCATGCTAAGTCTATAATTATGATAAGCAATGGTGCCTCTTTCAACATTGTGAATTGCAAATTTCATGGCCTCTGGTTTAAAACACGAACCAAATTTAATTGTTTGAAAGTTGTTGCACAATACTCAGGTGACCTATAAGGCCCGTGGGCCTCTTGTTAATTTGAAAATTCAAAACGAGAGAACACCAGTCTGCTTTATTGAAGAAAAGAGAACTGAATTAGTGTTTTTTTCTCATTTTTGATGATGAAATGTAAGTGCTTTGTGGCAACGCACTTTGAAAAAATTTTTTCAAAGTGCGTTAAAATTGGGACAAAATCAACGCACTTTGAAAAATTTTTTCAAAGTGCTTTAAATTTGGGACCAAATCAACGCACTTTGAAAAAATTGTTCAAAGTGCGTTTAGAGTTTACATCAATATATTTTACAATGGAGACACTTAACGCACTTTGAAAAAAAAATATGTAAAAAAGAAATTTCTGAATTCAGATTTAAGTAATGGAAAGCTTTGATTTTTATTTATCTATCGAAAAACTATGCATTGATTTACTACTGTCGGGAAGAGCAGAAGACGGGTAAAAGATCTCTGAGTCCAGCATCCGACTTTTTCTTTCCATTATACAAGCGTCGGTAGCAAATAAAACAGGGAAGGTAGTAATAAACCCCCAAAATGTAAGCTGCATTTTCAATGCCTATCATTGTCGCAAACCACGGCCAAAATGTACGATCCTCTCCCATTCTGGAGAGAGAGCTATATATGCGGACTCCGGAACGTGACTTGAGACGATGAATGCCTATATGATGTATATTTTTTCCAAAATAAATGGGAGTAAAGCCCCTCCCCTTGCCGGACCTTCACCCGGTTTCGATGCTGTGCTACTCTATTAACATGTTTATATGTACAATGTATTAACAAACCTAGTATTGAAAATTTCAATGAATGAGTTATCTTTAAATAGATGAAACCTAGAAATTTTTAAGTAAATCAAAACGTATGATAGAGAAACATTTTCATTGTTTTGAAAAATCAAATTGCTCCCTTTTCTTAAGGAAAAATGCGATGCTTTTAGTTGTTCATATCTAGCCCCTTATATATATATATATATATACTTTTTAATAAGAAGAAACGTATCAAATAATGATATTAAATAATCATCTTTCCATTTGTCTAAAAGATCGATTTCGTATTATAACATTAACAAAACCTACAATATTTAAAACGTCAATATTTCATGTCCTGAATTAAGTGACCTTATCATAAAATAAGATAGGCAACCAGGATCAATTATTTATCATACCGATTTTTGTAAGAATATTTATCAGGCTTTACAATTTTTCAAAGTGCGTTAATATGGTCGATATCAACGCACTTTGAAAAAAAAATTATTTTTTCAAAGTGCGTTAGCTTGGTCCCAAATTAACGCACTTTGAAAAAAATTTTCAAAGTGCGTAATTTTTCAAAGTGCGTTGTAAGATGGCAAAGTTCTTCCGATAAATGGGTGCAAACGAATGTTTATTTTTACAATCGCGCTAAATTCTACGTATATATTCATGGCAGGGGCTTAAAGAAATAAATCTTTATAAATTAAAGAAATGGTATAATTTGAGTTTTTGCAGGATCTTATGAATATAAATGAGAAGTAAGTCACGTGGGAGCAAGCTCTGAAATAGACTGCACATCATTTCTACATATCTGTTCAATATGTTTGTGAAAAGAGCAAGTGTTATTCTTACCAAAACAATTTCGTCGCCAACTCTTTCCCTGTGAACAATCTGTTCCTTAATCTTAGATTTCGGATCTACAGGGGTATTTATCATTTTTAAAACACCGTCCTCGTACGTTGCAGTTGCCTAAAAGAGAATTAAAAGTGTTTTTGAATAATAAGACATATTTTCCAAATACAGCAGCGACAAAAAAACTAAAATATTGGTTGTGAAGTATAGAACATGGGATAAAATAATCTCCCATAAGTTGGAAATGACTGTTATCCAACTCGTTGTGTTTATCCCCTCGCCAAGGCTCCAGGATAACTCGTTGGATAAAATCTTTATCTAACTACAAAGTACTTGATTAAATTAAAAACAACAGAAAAGTGACAAGTATTTTAATTGCAAGTGACCCAACCACGTTACCAAACCAGTGTATCATTTTAACCATCCTATATATCAAAAAAACATCTCCGGTAGGGCTTTATTTTAAACGTCTATTACTTTGCTAAAACGACAAATTTAATCCTGCAGTATATAGGTTAATAATTTAAGTTCTTTGAAGTACTATATAATAGTAATGTAATTAATAGACAATCAAACAACTCTAGACTTCCATTTTATTATTAGTAATTATATTTGACCGCAAGTTTTTTTTTATCAACCAGTTTCATCAGAGTACTAATCCATTTGCTTTAAAACACAGACTCTTTGATTTCTACTTCTTTCATCTCTTCATCTTCCCCTCGTTATTTCCTATGATTTGCCATAAATCCGCCGAATATTAACTTACATGCTTTTCATACCTTCAGAGATATTAAACGAAGTCATTAAATGCTCCCATTCCGGGAAAATGGCTCAAGTTACCTTCATGACTGTTTTTTGCATTTCTTTTAGGAACTCCTCGTTAAGATTAAAGCAGTCTTCCTGGGTGAAAAATCCTGTTTTCATTACAATTTTGATTTTATTGTTACTTTCTATGCTTATAGTCATTTCCGGTTTCGCTAGAGATGCCATCTTCCTGAGGGGTAAACCCACACCTACAAAAGGTTGACAAGGTTACACTACACATGCAAGCCTTTTTAAATTATTAGAATGTAAAGTGCAAAGATAAAGAAGTAAGAACTTGACAATTAATCGACACATACAAGGGTTGTCCTAAAAAGAGTCAGGAGACAGGAAAAATAGTTTAGTTTCTCTTTGCTTAATCAAATTAATTTTCCTGTTATAGTAAAAAGCAACATTTTATGATCATGCATTTCAAATTTCATGATAATATCACACATTCAACAAGAAAACAAGTCTAAAATAAAGAAAGCATATAAAAGTGTACATCGGCGCACGAAAGCAAGCGTAAGAATTTACGTCTCTTATAACGTCATGATCAATTTTTAAATACTACCTCATGTGCTTAACACGTGTCTCTTAAGCATCCAATTATTTTTATAAAAGTACAAAAAAGAAACACTCTTGACTGAAGGACTCATTTTAATTTACTACTGTCCATTTTAACTACTGTCAATTTATTAATCAGGATTGTATTTCGGTCGAAAAATCACCTTACATTGTAGGCAGCAGAAAAAACACAATGTTTGACGTCGGTCGTAGCCCATAACGTTCCCCCCGTCTGCTTTTAGCAAACATTACTCCACTTCACACAGGTGTAACTATATGTGGTATATAGGTGAAAACTAACATTGAATCTTATACCATTTGAAAAGATCTCTAATAGGTTATACTGTGTAAAAGCATTTCCGTTTTTTTTTCGTGTCTGATGTGGATAAAGAACATTCAAAATAATTAATCACATCCCCATGCGCCGCTAACGCGTTTGACGACGTCATTTTCGGCAAACCCAGTTCCGACAACACTTCAAATATTTGCCTCTGATGCTATTTATATGAAAAATTGACATTTTTTTTTATTTCAAAAAGTGACATGTCAAGTTAATATATAATAAGATTTTTAGTCACATTCACACACACATTCACACTTCCCCTCTGATTTTAAACAAAAATGAAATATACTCAACAAAAAAAGTTAAGGGTTATCAAAACCTTCATTTATAATTTCTACATCGAAAAGTATATTTATTCAAAATGAATTACATAGTTTCCTCTGTAAAGTTCCTACACGTCTGATAATATAAAAAACTAATGGTAATTGTTCACTTGGACAGAAGAACAAGATTACCAATTATGGATACCCTCCTATTCAAAGTGAATTTCCATATACAGTAATTGCATGATTTGTTTAATTCAAAACTGACAATCATCCAACAACTCTCAAAACTTGGCATGGCCTCCCCTTGCCTGAATAGCAGCCCTGCATCGCCATTGGAAACTTCGAATGAATGAACGGATGGTTCTTTGTGGTATCCAATCCAATTTTTCTAAAAGAATAACTTCAAGTCCATTGGTACTGCATGGAGCAGGATACCGCTGCTGAATTTGCCTTTGAAGAACATCCCAGACATGTTCAATAGGATTGCGGTCTGGTGACTTCGAGGGCCACTACATTCTATAGATAGTCTCTGTCTCAAGGTACTGGTTCACTATGTTTGCTTTGTTTGGTCTGACGTTATCATCCATTAAAACAAATTCTGTCCTTATTGCATCGGCAAATGTTCTTGCAATTGGCTGAAGGATATCATCTCTGTATCTGATACCGGTCAGTGCTCCATTTCTGATGATGTACAACTCTGTGGACCTCTGAATAGATTTGCCTCCCCACAACATAACAGAACCTCCACCAAAGCGATTATGTTGAGCCACACAACAGTCACTAAAACGTTCATTCTTCTGTCTCCACACTCGTTACCTTCCATCATTAAAATCCACACAGAATTTTGATTCATCACATCAGTTTATAATAAATTTCAGAATTGAAATTTCTTTTACTTAACTACAGTTATATACACAACCCTTAATTTTTGTTGTTGAGTATATTAAATAAACAGTATTTCATTCAAGAAATATGTAAAGTTGGTGTTTTAATAAATGTTCATAACTCAAAAATATTAATCCATGGTGACCATAGATTTTCAAAATTGTTCATTGTAAATTTTTGAATTGATATGCATTTTTCTACTTTGTACTTAAGAGTTAAATGATGTAGCAGCCCAGTAATCATAGGTATTTTGTTCTGCTTTAGACAAGAAAAAATATATTGCTTTGTATATATAAAAAAAAAGTAAATTTATCACCCTATTATGATAAGAAAATGGCATTTCACCTAAAATAATATTGCATGTGTTAAATCCAACTCTTTTAGAAGTTTTTGTAAATATGTGCATACTATGATTACTCCATAGTGAAGAAATTTTTGTACAATTCAAAAATATGTGTTGTGTTGTTTCTATAATAGATCCTGTTTACAAAAGGTACAATGATCATCAGATAAAATATTTATTTTCTTCAAATATTTCACTGGAAGGATTCTATGAAGGATTCTATACTGTAACCATTGAGCAGAAGTATCCACAGTTGTTCTAAAACAAACCTTAAAAACATCTTGAACACAAATATCAGGTTCTAAAAACACTGATAATTCCTGGTTCCATCTAAATATTGATGTAGGAATGACATTGTTACTATTCAAATATTTATAAATTATTTTAGTGAACTTTTCATATACAATAATGTTTTCAAAATAAAAAGGAATAAAAGGGGTACATTCCCTCTTAACAGATGATTTATCTATAGATATTGTTTTTAAAAAACCTGGATATAGCACAGATATCTTATACCATTTGTGTCTGATGTGGATAAAGAACATTCAAAACAATTAATCACATCCCCGTGCGCCGCTAACGCGTTTGACGACGTCATTTTCGGCAAACCCAGTTCCAACAACACTTCAAAAATTACGACATCAATATTTGCGTCTGATGCTATTTATATGAAAAATTGACATTTTATTAAGATTTTGATTCAGGATTCGCTGATATAAATATGAGTTTAATGCTTTACGTAATAAAAAAACACATACAAATGTAATTAGTTATATGTGTAAATTATTCCGAATTTTGTTCGTGCGCCGACAGACCATATCGGACTTTCTATAAAACGTATTATTAATATGAACGATGAATAATTAAGAACTCATTATTTTAAGGAACATTTAATGTACTATAGATATCCAAAATTTGTTTAGTAATTGGTTAAACGTGTACAAAGGTGTAAACATTGTCTACGACTTTCTGGAACAACCCTCTTACATATGAAAAATTCTATAATCTTTTTTTTTTATTTTGAGCTGTGAGTACTTTTCATCGAAAGGTACTATTAAAGTACAACGGGACTTAACTCTTGCAAGTAAGAGCTACCGGTATAACATAGACTTATAGATCTTCCTTTTCTCTCTGTTGTTTTAATCATGTGCCTTACCCATTTCGTTAAGAAATTCCTTAAAATTTTCACTTCTGTCTAATTTCCAAACACCCACAAACTTCTCTTTAATTTCGTCAAGCGCCATTATTATTTTTAATAGTGTTAAACTTGTCTATCTCGTTATCGCTTCATTGGTTATCTTTTTGTTTACTTATTTATCTTAGTGTTTGAGATTACTAGGTTCAAATATTCATTCCTATCAACATACCATAAATGGAGATTATTTCAAAAGCAAAACATATTTCATTTTGTAACATCCTCTATATGAAGAAGTGCCCCAAAATGTGGACATTTCGGTAATAACTTGAATAGATCTATGGTTTGTCACTTAGAATAATCTAACT